ACAACTAATCTGGACTCTTCAAAAAGGAAAACCTAAATGGACCCCAGGACAGTTCTGGATTAGAAGACCTTACTGAGACATAATAACCAAATACTTGAAACTTACGAAAGATTTTTGGGACCACCAGGGAAATTTGAAAAATTTTAAATTTAACATTGTGAATTAAAATTAGTTTTTAGATGTGATAATGATATTGTGGTTATGTAAGAGAATATTTTTAGGAGATACTTGATAAGGAATGTAGGAATAAAGTATCATGATATCTGCAGCTTATTTTCATATGGTTCATCAAAAATACATATTTGAGAAACATAAAATAAAAGGCAAAGTGTTAATTTCTGGTGATTGTAGACAAAGGTTAAACAGTGTTCATTGTATTGTTTTTTAACTCATTTGTATAGGTTTCAACATCTCCCATGTAAAAAGTTGTGGGGAACAATAATTCAGGTGGAAACTAAAATAGGAGAGAAAAACGGTAGAATAAATGAGACTTAAGAGACACAGTGACCAGATACAATGTGTGGCTCTCCTTTGCCTCCTGATTCAAACAAAGCAACTCTAGGAAAATGTTAAGAGACAACCAGGGAAATAGGAGCACTGATGGGATATTTGATGAAATTAAATATGAAATAGATGACAATAAGACTGACCAGATGATGATAATTACTGAAGCTGTGTCATAACTACTTGGGGATTGATTATCTTATCCTGTCTACCTTTACGTGTTTGAAAACTTCCATAGTAATATCATATAGTACGGTTGGCCTTTCTCAGTGAGTGAGTGAGTGACTGAATAGATATCTGAATATCTCTGTGGTTCTCTATTGTAAAGCAAGGAATTATAGAAGGATGACAAATTATGAAATGTAGATTAGTACCTGAGTTTCTCTCATAGTAGTGATTTTAAGTGAATTGGGGGGGGGAAGGGGGTGATGAAGGTTACGTGGAAGTAATTGTCTCTCTATTTTTTCCCTTTTCTTTTATTTTCATTCTCTCAATTTCCCTAATGCATGAGGCTCCTGACCACCAGAAAGCTAGCGCTGGGGCATTATCCTCATCACTTCTGAAGCTGATGGAATGGTATTTATTGCTTCCACTTAAGTTTGAGAATCTCACGGTTGTCTATTTAATCAGTTTTGTATTTAGCTAGTGAAGTTTTTATTTCCTGCATTTTCAAGATGCTACTATGGCCGCTGGTGCTAATTTAACATTTAGGTAAAGACAAAACATGATTTTGAAGGAAGGAATGGTCATTTAGGAACATCATACAGAAAAAAAAAACAAAAAAACCCATATGAGCCATATGGTGAAAAACATTCAAGATTTTTTGCCTGCCTGTTTGGAGGACTGTAGATGCAACCTAGGAAACGATGAGAAGGTCATCTTGCCCCATAATGGTCCTGAACAATTTAACTTACTGTAAGGTAGAATTCTGCAATAAAAAAGGGCAACAGTTTTATATTTTGTTTTCTAGAAAGGAATAAGAATTAAAATAAAACAAAACATGAATTGGACACCTATATGCCTTAAAGGAAATGTTAGAGAGTATTATCTTCCAGTTAACAGTGTGAACTATAAAGAGGGAAACAAGAGTAGATAAGGATATACATATGAAAGGAAAATTTAAATTCCAAAGACGTTTTACAAACCAAACCAAACCTATGGGTGGTAGACTTAATAGGAAAACAAATGAAACCAGACTTAGAAGGGATATTACATCTGGGACCAAAAAGGAAAATCAACCAGTTTCCATAGTTGCTTAGTACACAAGGGAGATATATACTATTATTTCACCTCTGAACATAGCTTTCATTACTTAGACTGAATAATATTGATGAAAATAATTTTAAAAATTTATAGTGTTTGCAAATATGAACATACCTTAAAAATATTCATATCTGAAAATGCATCTACTATTACCCTTAAATTTTTTCTAAGATATTTTTAACAATATTTGTTTGTATTGGAGGTTAAGGTTTGGACTTACGATTTAGACTTTTCGGTTTGAATATCTTTAAAGTCAATCATAGACAATTATTATGGAGACTATGAATATTTGTTTAATTCAGTCCTTTTTTTACTTCTCCCTTCTCTCTTGCCACTTTTTACATCTGTGGTCAACTAAAAGTTGCCACATTTTCTTTGCTCCCCCTTCCCTCCAGAAGTGGAAAATATTTTTCTGCCCTTTTAATGCAAGCTAGCAAAGTAACTAGCTTGGACCAACGCAGTGTTGTGGAGGCCTAGTAGAATGCACTCCTGCCCTCTTGCAATGGGCCTGTCTGTAAAGAGGCCTTGGTCAGCCTCCTTGAGGATGAGAAGCCAGGTGGAACAAGAGCTAGCCAACAGCCAAGAGCACCAGAGGCCTGTGGGAGTCCTGCTTGGACCCCTCTGAGCTCCTTCTGCCCCTGCATTGCAATGACTCATTGTAGTTGTATGAGTGACCAGGCAAGATTAGCAGAACTGCCACGTTTAGCCCAGCCCCAGTGCTGATCCCAAAATAAGTTCATTCCCTATTCTACACAACAGACTTCCAGCATCTGAGGATAAGTACTAGGAATCACTGTTTATCATTTGTTTTCACCTTAAATAGCCCAGATTCTTTGTCGATCTTTGCTCCTCTGACATGGTTTCCATGGTTAGTGGACCTTATATTTACTTGGTCACTGTTCTCTGGACTTTGCAGAGCTTATCAAATTTCTCTTTGAATTTGTGGTACTCAGAATTGAAACCAGTGTTTCAGATGTGATTTGCCACTTTTAGTCTCATTTCCCTATAATTTCTTACTCCTCACAGGCCCTGAAGCGTTCGCTTCCTTCTTATCTTACCCCCCATGCTCTCAGCCCTTTCTGCAAGATGTGAAATTGTTTTCCAGCTCCTAAGGTCCAAGTGAAATGTTGCCTCCTTTGCAAGACTCTTGTCAGAACTTGTTGCTCCTGCTCCCTAGTGCCTGGTTGGTATATTTTTCCATGGTGTGTCACACTAGCTGTGGGAGGTTTAGCTCCTTGGCTAGTAGGCTGTGCATTCTTGATAGCAGTAAGTTTATTTCTGTGCCTTAACACTTTACACAGCATTTGGCACATGTTAAGAACTCAATAAATGTCTAACAGGTTGACTAATTAATAGTCTTTGGATATTAAAATACATTCTCTTAGAGCCTACATTTTCCCCACAAAGGTATCTGTCAAGAGAAACTGTGAGATTGCTATTGAAATCAAGTTATCATGTCTGTTGAGTTTTCCTGAGTATCACCATAGCCCATTGAGAAGGAAAATATACTTGGTTTGGAATTACCTTTTCAACTCCCTATGCTTCCTTCTGTAATACTTTCTGAAGAATTTTTGCCAGAGATGTTTGTTTGCTATTTCTGGAAAGAGTATTTTACTCTTTCTTTAATATTGAAGCATTTGCTTTATTTTTGTCTTTGTCTTTCATCTATTGCAATACCCAAAAGATTACTGCATGTATGTACTCCAGTGTATTTTTGTTACTATAGCATGTAAACAGTCTGGGTTGGGTAAATGTGGCCTTGTTGTTATTATTACTAACAAAATAACAGTACTTTACATTTGTAAAGTGCCTTATCCTTTATAAAAATGTTTTTCCCATTACAACCCATTTGTCTTACCAAAAGCTCATTTTAGTAGGTAGGGATTGTAATCTGTGTTTTACAGTTAAGAAAACAAGCTTAGAGAGATGAGATCACATGACTGGATAGTGGAAGAATCAAGAATTGAATCTAGCTCTGGGAGAGCAACTCAGGTGACATGAATAACCTGCAGTTCCATATTCTTTCTGGATTGAGATATTTTTTTCTTAAAAAAAAAATAGAAAAAGAACTGAATAGCTCTGCTTTCTTTTTGCATCTTCTGCTCTTGTCTTTCTCCAACCTTCCCCCCATCCCTAACTTATAGATATATCTTCTTATTCTGAGCATGGCTGTTGTGACCATATATTTTCTATTTGCCATTAAGTCTGTTTGGAATGGAGAGACATTTTGGCAAGTGCTATAGGGACAGAGGAAAGGCACACACACTTGTTTGCCAGTGTCAGGTGCTGCACTAGGTGTTTCCCCTGTTATTAGCTCATTAGCATCAACTTTTACAGACAAGGAAAGGAGGCTCAGTGAGCTTCCCAGTTACTTCCTGGTGTAATACCCACCTTCCACCAAAAAGTTGTCCAAGGATTTCAAATGGAAACATCTTCTCTTTGGAGTTTGTGCAGTACATATCACCCCCTTTTTGTTTTATTATGTTGTATTAAAAGAGGTGCTACATTATGGCTTTCCCTTTTTGTCTGTGCTACTTTCATATTTAGACCCAGAGTGGTAGAGATGAGGAAGGCATGGGGAATACTGGGTTCACCTCTTTTCCTCTCTTGTGCTTTTCTCCATTTGGTTTAGGTCATTGCTAGAATGTAAATATGTCACTTAATAGGATAGTGCACACACATTACCTTTAGCCACAACTCATATCTCAGCAAGAACTAGTTTCTTAGATGGGTCCTCAGGGAGGGGCAGGAAGCAGAGAACAGAGAACAGAACTCCAGGGAAATGGGAGAGGTAAGAGTTTAGGGAACTGCTGAATATGGGGCATGGTGCCCATGGGCAGGTCTCAGGAGGATGCTGGTGCCTTGGAAAGGAATGGTCATGGGGGATGGTGTCCAACAGGAAAGACAGCCAACACACCCTCAACTTAGCCTCCGAGTTTCACCTCGAGTCAGTCCTGGTTGCCTCAGCAGGCAGTGGTGGTGACCAGCAGCCTCTTAGCTTCAAGGGTTGGCAACACTCAAAAAATGCCTCTCAGCCCTTTCTTGACTCCAGTTAGGGGAGATGCCTTCCAGAGATGATAAGCATTTCCCTTTTTTAAATTGAAGTTCAACAACTCAAAACCTGGTGGTCTCAGTATTATAAAATGCTAAACATTAGAGATGGAAGGAAATAATTTCTACCATGAATATGCATATAATAAAAAAAATCCCTCTTTCATTTCTCCACTTTCTAGACAATTGCAACATGACTTTCCCAGGGCACTGATTTTCAGCACGGATGATTTTTTCTTCAGGGAAGATGGTGCCTATGAGTTCAATCCTGACTTCCTGGAGGAAGCTCATGAATGGAACCAGAAAAGAGGTGATGAATTCCTTTCCAAACTCCTGGGAATCCCTGTTGTGTGCATAGACTGTAGCTGCTTTAGAATGAATATGTTTTATGGAAGGAGCTTAATCAAAAGTTCTGCTGTCCCCCCCCCCAATCAGAATGCCAGAGTATAATAACATCTTTAGATTCCATAAGAAAATTACTGATAATGGGTTCTGAAATAGGTGGCAATAAATTGTGTAATGAGGACGTCTTATAACAAAAAATGACGAGATATGGATTTCGCTCACCCTTTTCTGATTGTTGCTTGTTGTTCACTGTTATGTAACATTGTGTTGCAGCAAGAAAAGCAATGAGGAGAGGCATATCCCCCATTATTATTGATAATACCAACCTCCACGCCTGGGAAATGAAGCCCTATGCAGTCATGGTAGGAAGAAATGTTCTGAATTTTCAGTTGTGGACATTTTGTGAGAAAGTTGAAACATTGTTCTTTCCTTTTTTTTCTGATCTTCCATGATATCACATTTACTAACAGTAGTTCTTTCAGGGAGCAGGTAAAGTTTTAGTTTTTCTCTGTTCAATGGCTGAAATTTGCTGAGATGTTTCTCTCATCTCGGGGTACAATTTTTACATAGTCCTTTGTAAATAATCATTTCTTTGAATTATTGATAGTTTTTCAGTCTTGGATATTTTCCACACAGAGGGGGCACTCACTGAAACTTACAGGGAAATACAAGACTAGATGATGCACTAGCAGGGTTACAGGTCCTCCCTTGGCGAGCTGGGATTTCAGCACTGTGTACTGTTGTTGCTGCCTGAAGTTCCAGGGCAATAGGATTGTTTTGTTTAAAAACAGATTTGGCATCAAATGATAACCCTATGAAGGAAGGTAGTAGAGTACAAATATAAACATATAACTCAGGTCTCCATTCTGATATTTTTTCAGACATACATTGTCTCTTATGCTAATAATTTTTCACTCCCTAATAGATAGAAGAAGATCCACAAACCTACAGGGTGGGGCAGGAAGCAGACAGCTAAGTATTATTCTACTTATGTCACACAAAATTCCCACTTTTAATTGTGAGATGAATGTCTCCCACACTGGGCTCCAAAATCTATTTTTAGGCTTTTTTTACATTTGGAGCAAAATGGCATACCTACAGGTGTGATTTTTCTCTAATGATACTTTAATCAGTTCTACTTTGGCCCAGACTGTGAGACTTGCATAAATGTATTAAAGAATGAACATCAACTTGGTGGTTACTTCAGTTTATGATTGAAAGGCTGGAAATGAACAGTGCGTTGAGGAGACCTATGAATTCAGGCACAACTCAAAACCTGGAGTTGGGCATTAACTGAGAGTGACTTCTGGGAAGTAACTTTATTTTTCATTTTCACTCACCCACAGCTATTTAGCCCCAGAAATTGTTTTCAAGGTATGACAGTTGAATCCTTCCCTAATTAGAAGTGCCCAAAGAATGAAGAAGAAATCTTTAAATTTATACATTAATTACAAATAATATTTGGACATATTTATGGAGTGTAGAGTGATGTTTCAGTACATGTATACAATGTGTAATGATCACCTCCAGATGTTAAGGTCACCCATCATCTCAAATATTTGTAATTCATGATGAGAACATTCAAAATCCTCCCTTGTAGCTATTTTTACATATTAATGCCCTTCTGTGTAATAGTACATAAGAACTTATTCATCCTACCTACTTATGAGGAAATTGTTTTACTGAGCTTTGTTCATTCTGTATTTCACAACAGAGCAAACAAAAGTGACAACAGAAAGTTCAGTTTGAGATAAAGCAGTATTTGATTTATGAGTACAAAGAATATTTGGATAGTTTTATGGGAACTGTAGTAGTTTTCTAAACTCAAGGGAATGGGACACGGTGCTTGGGGTCAAACTATATTATATAGCAGGTAGAGCTATTTTTGGAGGGAAAATTATGTAAAACATGTGGAAATTACTTTATTTCATGAACTATGTTTCTGTGACAGTGATTTTCTAAATCAAGCCATGAGGAAAAGGACAAGGTATTTGGTGGAAATAAGTCTACATTGCTCACACCTGTGTTTGGGACATTTTAAATTAGTTCACATCTACTTTTAAAGGTGTTAAATTCCTCCATATTAGATAAAATTGACCAAAATTTATCACTGGGAAGCATAATATAATCTGAGAGTGGCTAAGTATGGTAATAAACCAATTGTATTCAGATAAATTAAGGCATTGGATTACTGGTAAAACAAAAGGAATTTAGAAAAGATTTGTAGTAAAATGTTAAATGGCAGCATAAACATTCCCAAACATACATACTATGTGTTCAATGTTTTATGTACTTTTGAAAAATCAGGCACTTGAAAATAACTATGAAGTTATATTCCGAGAACCTGACACTCGCTGGAAATTCAACGTTCAAGAGTTAGCAAGGTACTTCTTTGTTTTTCTAGTTCCTCATTATGTATCCTGCTATTTTCAGGTATTTCAGACCGAACAAAAGAATCTTTTCAGGCTGGAAATGGACTGGTAGTTTTCAGGCCAGAAATGGTAATTCTTGGAAATTGATAACTTTGGAAATATTATATGTGAAGATGTTAGTTTTGGGTCAGTTTTCTAATAATGCTAAATGCAACATATTGGCTTGGACTTGGTCCTTTAAAAGGACTTATTTAACATTCTGCTAAATTGCTTTTTCATTAATGAACATTTAAAAGCACTTTCCTTTGCATGGGATTGCACATGTTGATGGTGTTTTCTGCATTTAGACTAAATAAAAATCTTTAGATGTTGAACATTGTGTAGTTCATTTATGGTTTAGATGCTGCTTCTAACTTATACAGCAATAAATGTCCAAATAGTACTAACTTGACTTTGAATGCATGAGTTCTGATATTTACTCTTTGTGTCATTTGATGTCAATATAATAAAGTTAACCAGTGAGATTGGAATTGACTTTTTTAGGATTAAGGCCAGTTCATCTTTTGGTTATAAGCTGATAGTGTTTCCAACATGGCTGTGATTCACCTCCATCAGGAGTGCCTGAGGTGTTAAACTGTAGTTCATAGACTCCATTCTGTAGTCGAAATCTTTGGTAATAATTATACTTCTAATTATATGCCCAACTGATTCTTGTGCCTACTAGTTTTTTTTTTTTTTTTGTGTGTGTGTGTGTGTGGTGCTGGGTATTGAACCCAGAGCCTTGTATATGCAAGGCAGGCACTCTACCAACAGCCCCGTGCCTACTAGATTTTAAGATTGTTTTAGTAAGCATTGTTTAACTGTACTGGGGACTAGTTGACCTGAAACAATGATATTAACTGGCGAATATATTATTGAAAAAATCTCATGGTGTTCTTCATATTTTGAAGCACATGATTGAGATTACCAAAAACAAAACAATTATGAAGCCAGCCTCAGGATATTTTGGGGGTGTATAGGGCAGCAGAAAAACAGGAGCAGAGCCTGAGAGATAACTGAATAGCAAAATTTTATGTTTTGCCAGAGATATCCCCAGGACGGAGAGTGTAGTATCTATGCAATGCAGAACTTGTAAAGCACAAGTAATTCATTTTGATATTCTGCCTTAACTACATATTTGCATTTTTTTCATGTAGAAGAAACATTCATGGAGTACCAAGAGAAAAAATACACCGAATGAAAGAACGGTATGAACATGATGTTACCTTTTACAGTGTACTTCATGCAGAAAAACCAAGCAGAATGAACAGAAACCAGGACAGGAATAATGCATCGCCTTCCAATGGTTCAAGATACTGGCATACCTATGCAGAGTTTCCAAACCGGAGGGCTCATGGCAGCTTCACAAATGAGAGCTCCTTTAGCAGAAGGGGTGGTTGTCACCATGGATATTAGAGGCCTATCTTACAGCCATTCCAAATTTTCCTAAATAAGTTTTTACTTCAATCTTTTGGTATTTATTCTTTGTTTTGTTTTAGCCAAAACTCCAATTCCAGTGTAAATAGTTGAACCCCAAAATTCCTGAGCAGAGGTCATTATATTCATTATCTTCAACAAGCATTTGTTAAGTGCACCTGTACACATGGTCTGATGCTGGGAATTTTTCAGATTTGATTAAAATCTTGCTCTAAGGGAAAGAATTAATTTGAACCTGAAGTCTAAGAACATACCCAAGAACGTGATCAGTTAGTTGCATAGGTTCATAAATAAAACAAAGTGTTTATATTATATATAAGCTTCAGTACCACTTTGTCTGAAGTAATCCATTTATTTTTTCAGGAAATTCATCTCAACCGGGAAAGTTGGAAGGGTTAGGGAGAAGGGAGAGGCAGAAAAGGTTTTAGTGCTATTCCTACTTTGGTAAACTATGTATTTTAAAAAGTGAGATGTGTGACTCCAATGATACTGATTTTCCCTTGAAACAAACAGAAAGCACACATATATGTAAGGAAATATTGTCTTTCAAAGTGATCACTTTGGGAAGTATTCCTTTATTCTAATGATGAATCACTGTTAAAAATGTCAAATCTTTAATAGCTATACAAGTTGAGGAAAATCAGTCTTATTTAAAGTCACACCTTGTGTTTAACTACTTTTTTCAATAGGATTAAACAACTTTTGGCTGTTGTCTATTAGTGTAAATAAAATCTGACTTCATAAAACAGCAATTTTTAAGAGATCTAATTTCTAAAATTATGCTTATAGATGTGTGTAATTAGTTGGCAGCCCAAATGTTTAGCTGTGCAAAGAAATAAAGCAGCCCAAGATATAGATCATGCAAGGATATGTAAAAGCCATGCTCACTGGAGGATGAGCAGTCTTCATGTTTTCCGTGGTGTTATTTATCTGTGAATCCAAATTAAATTCCAACAGGTTGGAATCAGATTAATTTGGTGTGAGACCATGACAGACAAGATCGTGTAGGATGTATGCTGTTTATTGTTGGCCAACAGCTTTTTTTTTCTGGTGTTCTGTGAAATATAATTTTAAGTGTCTTATATAATGGTGCTTTTATGGTTATTAAAATGGCATATTGTATTGCGTTTATATGAAATTTGTCATTGAGTTTTTTTGGCTCAACAATAAAAAAATTTACCTAAATCTCAAGAAATTCAGTCGTATAATAACTATATCATATGCTTATTTACTAATCTTCTCTAATATTAGGCATAAATGTAAAGACAAAAGCAATCTTATATTTTCTTGCTTATCTAAACCTGTGCACATTAGATAATTTTCCTTTAATATACCCATTATCTACTACCGTTAATCTACTCAACATCTTGTCAACTACCAGCAATGTGTCTGTAATTTTTCTCTGTAATGCGTCTGTAATATTTTTTTAAAAAAATACACATTTATTTATTTATTTTAGGTGTAGATAGACACAACACAATACTTTTATTTTTTTATGTGGTGCTGAGGATGGAACCCGGGTCCCGCCTGTGCTAGGCGAGCGCTCTGCCACTGAGCCACAACCTCAGCCCCTGTAATATATTTTTAAAATATTTGTTTTAGTTACAGTTGGACATGATACTTTATTTATTTATTTATTTTTATGTGTTGCTGAGGATTGAACCCAGCCTCACACATGCTAGGCCAGCACTCACCGCTGAGCCACAACTCCAGCCCCTCCATTAACATTTTAAAGATTGGTTATCTTTGAATAACAAGCTTGACTGACAAACAAAATAGTAAATTTGAATGAATCTAACCTGCTATTATAGTTTTGTTAAATTCTGTGTTTCAACATAGCATACAATCCTGTAATAGTAACAACTCAATTGATAATACTAATTTCCAGGTCTAGGTCATTCTGGGTGTCTTGGTATGGTTATTGTAGAACCTGCTCAATGTGGATAACTTGGCTCACCCAGATTAGGGAGAAGTGTCAGAGAACTCAAACTAGAATTACCATCCTTTGATACCACAGGAGCAGTAGAAAGGGCCAGATTCAAGTCCCTGATTTGGCTCTCTCATTAGGGTTTCTGGTTCACCTGGATTGAGGGAGTGGCCATCATGGAGAAGTGGCTCTGGGTTATAGATCCAGAGTTATTATTGGGTTCTAAAAGAGTTCCTGGCCAATCTCTTTTCTTAGAAGACTCCTGAAATACTTGGTTTAGAAGCATTAAGGTAACTGATTAAATGCCACCAACTTTATCCCATTTAGAAGTGGTCTAGTTTTCAACTCCCATGGCTTCTAATTTATATAATCTTTGAACACCCAACTTTGACTTGTATTACTGTTTACATTATTTATAGGGCTGGCAAGTGCTCTGTTCACACAGTAGGCTCTCACTAAGTGATTGCTGAATAACACAAACTGTTTTTACCACTTATTCCTTATCATGCAGCATACACTGTTGACTTTGTAATCATTAATTTGTCACTTTTGGGGTGATAATATACTCAAGCCTCATATTTTATTCATGTAGCTTGGATGTTATTTATAATTTAAAAAAGAAGTGTGTGCATTAGATTATTTCAGTAACAAGTAGTATGAATGAGAATGGAGGAGGTAATAGCATGTTTGTTTTCTAGGATTCAGAAAGGAAATCTTAATTTTAAACTCCTTCCTGTTCACATGAAACTCTAGTTTTATCCAGTATAGAGTGGATCATTAGGAGAACAATCAGGATGTGAAGACCAAATTGCGTTATGGACAAAACTTAAATCACATTAATAAGACCAGTAGAATACTTAAGAATAGAAGAACAGACTATTATATGAATGCTTTTTGGAGGAGAGAAAAATAATGGATCACAGTTAAGGAAGGAAATAGTTCGTTTTTAGAAGAATTTATTCTTAGTTTTGAAATGTGTTTAGATTTGAACAAATATTACATATAAATTTAGGATATGTTAAAAACACCTGACTTACAAGCTTCTTCATACTATTAACTCTTAATTAGAACTGCTGTATCCCTTTCCTCTTTAAACCTAAGAAAGTAACAACAGAATATCATCTTAATTCAACTTGCCAACCTCTGCCTTGGTGGGCTTCATGGGAAGAGCATTTCAGGTCCTGGGATGGTGCTGAAGACACAGCAGGTAGAAGCAGTACAACTTGAGAGGAAGACTATCTCTGAGACTGCAGTCTGGATGACTGTTTTAAAAAAGGTTAACTCTTGAAGTAATTTAATTTCAGAGGTCACAATGGAATCACACAAAGGCTTTACTCTTGAGGGTTCTATTTTTTTTTTTTTGTAGTCATGCTGAGTTAAGAATGAAGAATTGGTCAGAAGAAAACTCTACATATCTATTCATCCTGACTTTTGCATAGGATGGAACTATAGCAAAAGCAACACATGCATTATGCGTATGAAAACTATTTCATAGGAGGTCACCTCTTTAAAACAAACAAGAAAAAACTTCTAAAGTTAACTACAAGTCAAAATAACTGTTCTAAGAACCTTGTTTTAATTATACAATGACACAGTCTAAAAGAAAACATATTTACTTTTATAACACTGTAGTGATTCAATCCAATCAAAGATTTAAACAAGATTTTTTGGATTAGTTACTAAATACAGTTAAGGTAGACAATTGAAATAAAAGCATACCAGAATAGAATCAAGGAACGAATGTCTCTATGACATACAAATACTTAGGTAAATCTGAAACCTTCTCATGTCTTTTTATACAAATACTGATGTGCAGTTTGAAACTGTGCATGTCTTACAAACTGGAAAGACCAAGTCAGTCAATAACTAATGTATTATCTTTTCATTTTTGTTGCCTTTGCAATCTCTTAGACATATATTACTTATTGCACTTGTGTCCTGAATACTGGTCCCACATTCTTCTGTGCTGCTTTGGGAATTCTCTTGATCTCTGCCCAGTGATGTCATATGTCTTTTCTGTCTAAGAGAGTCCCTTGAACTCGAGGGGGCAGTCCTCATGGAGTCACTGATAGATAGTTGACTTTTTCCTGCTGAACCAGACAGAATGGCTTGGGTATTTATCAGTGCAAGTTCTTCATCAGGTATTGAATCACTTTCCAGAAGAGAAATTTCATTGAATTTTTTAAGTGGAGTCATTTGAGGAGAATTCAATTCTTTTTTCTTTATAGGTGTTTCGTATTTGCTGCCACAACTTCGTGGTGGCTGAAATGCCTTCTGTGCAGCAGGAGAAACAAATGTACAAATGGGACTAACAGGCGGAGGTAGAGGCAGTCTGCTTAAGAAATCCAAGGCTCTTCTCTTTTTGCAGTTTTTTTGGTCATCAATCTCTTTCTCTCCTTTAGAACAGGACTTTGAGGTCATGCGAGTGGACACAGGTGTGGGCACAGACTTCCCTTTTGGCGTACAAAGTGATAATGGACTCTGATAATTTATCTCACTATTAGGAGAAGACATCTAATAAAACAAATTAAAAAGTAGCCTATCATAATTACGTAACAGTATTTAAAACAAAATCAAATTAACCTTTCTTTAAAAATACTACATTCTCAGGCTGGTGTTATGGCTCAGTGGTGGAGCACTTGCCTAGCATGCATGAGGCATTGGGTTTGATCCTGGCACCACATAAAAATAAAACAAATTAAAAAAATAAATAAAGATACTGTGTTTATCTACAACCTCTCAAAATGCCACAGTCTTCTCATGTGTAAAATAGCTTTTATCTCATAGGGTTGTTGTAAAGATTAAATGTGTTAATGTAGCCACACTTAGCATGTGTTAGCTATTTAACCAATAGTAAAGGCTTTAGGTTGATTTACATCTACTGTGATTTTGTGAGTTAAATTGAGCTTAGAAACACCTCTATGGAAGCCATGTCTGTAATCCTAGCTACTCAGGCTGAAGCAGGAAGATGGCAGGTTCAATCTGCAACTTAATAAGACCCTGTCTCAAAAAAATAAAAAGGACTAGGGTTGTGGCTCAGTGGTAGAGCGCCACTGGGTTCAATGCCTGATTCTGAAAAGAAAAGGAAAATAAATAAATAAACAAACAAACAAACAAAGAACTTTAATGGCAAAGAAGAGCTCTTCTAGCAAAAAAGAAACAGCCCTAAAGGGCTTTTTAATCTAACATGTAGTTCGAATGCTAAAAATTAAAGTACTTGTTTGTAGTATGCCCCCAAAGAATTTTATAAAATTGCTATTTCAATAAACAATATAATTTTCAAGTAGCCTATACCAATAGCAGCTGCCTACCAATTAACCACACTTTCTAATTAACTTTAATCACATTTTTACCATGTTACATATGCACCAGAATATATCATTGCCTCCATATATAATATTTCTTAAATTTACATGAACTTACCAGAAATTTATTTCCTGTACCAAGGACTGTTTGAGTAGTGTGTGGCTCTGATGTGTACTCTTTATTAGGGGTGGAGCACTTGGGATCATTTGCATTAAGTAGATGCATAAGTTTCTTTTCTGCATCATTGCAAAATATGTCAATATTCTGAGAAAACAAATTGGAAGAATTATAAACTCAGAATTAATGTTTCCAGCAAGTTATTTCCTTTAAGACCAAAAATAATAAATTCAGACCAGAAACAAACCACGAGACAACCGAAATTTGATAGCAATTGTCGAACATGCCAATACAAAAATTCAAAACAAACACCAGTGATTTAGGGGCACCTAGCTGTTGAAGGAAGGGGCTGAGGAGTGAGAAATAGAAGGAAGAGTGGAAAAGGACAGGGAGTGTGTGTGTGTTAAGGAAAAAGAGCTCTTCCCAATCACCAGGAAGATTATCATGACACTGGATTTGGAGTGGAACCTCAGGCCTCACTTTCCATTCTATATGCTACCTCACAGCTGGAAACCATCACTCCCACTGAGTCCTTGTTGGGGAGGTAAAACCAAAGACCTGCCTCACTCATTGCATAACTGTCCCAAGCATTAACTGAAATAACATTCAGGTTAAACTACATGGAACCGGTATTTCAGGAGCCACAACTGGCTAAATCCCAGCAATTTTATACCTAACCTAAAGCTTTAAAAATCTGGGATAAAAGCAGTAGGGACCCCGTAGGAGCATCAAATAATGAATACAACTCCTACCCACAATTCAGAAACTAGATAAATCAGAATATTATTCTTCACTATGCATATTGAGATTTTTTAAGCAAAATACAAACACAAAA